CCCAGACACAGATTCAGGGGAAGGATCAAGCAGTAAGTGTTTTAAATATCTAAACATTTATTTACAACATAACTGGCATATTTAAAATATTAACAGTAGCTAAAGTGCTTTAAAACATGTAAACATTTATTTGCAACAAAACAGGAAGATTGAAAATATTAACAGTGGGTAAAGTGCTTCAAAACATGTAAACAGGAAAGTCAAACAAAAGGGGAATCAGTGCAAAGTGTATCATGATTAGTCTGTCTTTGGGCGCCTCAATATATAGTCCGAACCATTTTCAAAAAATTGCACAATGTCCGCTTCATGATTATAGTGCCCAAAACCCTGCAGTCATTTGTCCCTCCAAGGGCACCTAAGCCAAGAACTGGTCAATGTAACCGGGGATAGAGGCGACATCCTCCGGGGAGAACTCCTCATACACCTCCTGCAGGTGTTTTTCCAGCCTCATCAGCAGGTTCCTGGGCAGGGAGAGCTTATTAGGCCCCCCGTGGTAGGACACGTTTCCCTGCCACAACGCCAGCAGGTACTCCGGGATCATGGCCTTGCAGAGCAGTGCAGCAAATGGCCCCGGTTTCTGCAGGCTGTCCCGGAGCATCTTCTCCTTCTGGCTCTCCGAGACCTTCAGGAGGGTGATGTCTGGCATGACTCCCTGCTGTGAATTAGGTAGGGGAAAGTTAGTATTGGGACTGCTTGCCCGTCCCTTTACAGAACTGCAACCGCCGGTTTACAGCCACGCGGTTTACAGCCGCGAGGGGGTGGGACAGGGCCAGAGTTCATGCTTGCAGGATTGCTGCCAGCAGAGACTCGCATTGCTTTCTATGTGAAAGGAGGCCAGTGCCACTCTTAAAGTTTTAAGCGGCCACAAGTCTACGGCTTACCATGTTTGCCAGCTAGACAAAGTCCGGTGTCCAGCCCTGCTCCTCAGCTCGCCACAGCAAGACCACAGGCACGGTAGGCGAGGGCCGAAAATTCGACCTTGTCCTCAGTGCGCGTGTGATAGGTGCTCTGCATGGTCTTGTTCACAGAGAAAGACTATGTTCTCTGTTCACAGATACATTGCTCTGTCTCAGGAATTCACTCCCTTTTTCCAATTCCCACAGCCACATCTGCCCAGAGGCTAGCGCACATTAGGAGGAGGAAGAAGAGGACATGGGAAGACATGTTTGCTGAACTAATGGGATGCTCCCGAGCACAGGCAGCCCAGCAGACACAGTGGAGGGAGAACTTGTCCCAAATGCACCGGGCAAACATTGAACGGGAGGAGAGGTGGCGACAGGAGGACAGGCAGGCTACTCAAACGCTGCTTGGACTAATGAGGGAGCAAACGGACACGCTCCGCAGCCTTGTGGATGTTCTGCAGGACCGGAGGCAGGAGGAGAGAGCCCCGCTGCAGTCTCTCTGTAACTGCCCTGCCCCGCCACCAAGTCCCATACCCCCCTCACCCAAAGTCCAAACACGGAGGGGTGGAAGGGGCCGTGAAAAATTTCACTCCACCCCTGCGGACTGCTCTACCACTAGAAGGCTCTCATTCCCCAAAATTTGAAAAGTCCTTTCCTACCCGCCTCACACAAGACCCCGTCCAAGTTTCACGCCCCCGTTCCATGTGCGGTTGTTAATAAAGAATACGTTTCTGTTCATTTCTGTTTCCATCCTCTTCTTTTGGAGGGGAGTCTGTCTGAAGGGGGGGGAAGGGGCTTGGTCATTGGACAGGACAGTCACCTTTAGCAGGGGGCAGGTGCAGCAGCAGGGCACATATACAGTGCAGTGACTAGTTATCCTGGTCAGTCTGGGAGGTGGTTTTCATGTTCTGTGTGGTGGGGGGTGGTGGTGTTGCTCTGTGACTTGGTGGCGGGGGAGGGCAGTTACAGATCTTATGCAGCGGTCCTTACCCTGGATCACAGAGCCGCGCAGCAGGGGATCTGTAACCCTCCTCCCCCTGCAAGACAGTCACATAGCCGACACATACACGCAGTCCCGGCCAGGAGGGCTGGCAGGCTCCGTTGAAACAACCAGTCCACCACCGCGGAGCCTGTCATTCCTGGAGTTTAGAAGCATCATTTGCATCACAACACTAAACCCGCCCCCCGCCACAGTCTGCGTCCCAGGTTTAAAACATTCCCGCGAAAACAGTAATAAAGACAATGGTGTCCATTAACAAAACAGAACAGATTTTATTTTTTGGGAAGGGGGTGAAGGGGGTATGTGATTGGAGAGGATAGTCGACGGCAACTGGGTAAAGAAACGGGGGCAAGTTCTGCTTCTGTGTCCACAAACTTAAAAGTCACTGGGTACCCTGCTCAGCCTTGAAACTGGCTTTCAAAGCCTCCCGGATGCACAGCGCGTCCCGCTGGGCTCTTCTAATCGCCCGGATGTCTGGCTGGGCGTAATCAGCAGCCAGGCTATTTGCCTCAACCTCCCACCCCGCCATAAAGGTCTCCCCCTTGCTCTCACACAGATTGTGGAGCACACAGCAAGCTGCAATAACGATGGGGATATTGGTTTCGCTGAGATCACAGCGAGTGAGTAAGCTTCTCCATCTCCCCTTGAGACGGCCAAAAGCACACTCCACCACCATTCTGCACTTGCTCAGCCGGTAGTTCTTTTTCAGTGTCCAGGGCGCCAGTATAGGGCTTCATGAGCCAGGGCATTAGCGGGTAGGCTGGGTCCCCGAGGATCACTGTAGGCATCTCCACATCCCCAACAGTTATCTTGTGGTCCGGGAAGTAAATACCTTCCTGCAGCCGTCTAAACAGACCAGAGTTCCTGAACACGCGAGCGTCATGAACCTTGCCCGGCCATCCGACGTAGATGTTTGTAAACCGTCCCCGATGGTCCACCAGTGCTTGCAGCACCATTGAAAAGTACCCCTTTCTATTGATGTACTGGCTGGCCTGGTGGCCCGGTCCCAGGATAGGGATGTGAGTCCCATCTATAGCCCCACCGCAGTTTGGGAATCCCATCGCGGCGAAGCCATCTATGATGGCCTGCGCGTTTCCCAGGGTCACTACCTTTGACAGCAGTACCTTGACGATTGCCTTGGCTACTTGCAGGACAACAACCCCCACGGTAGATTTGCCCACGCCAAAGTGGTTCGCGACTGACCGGTAGCTGTCCGGCGTTGCAAGCTTCCAGAGTGCTATGGCCACTCGCTTCTGGACAGTCAGGGCTGCTCGCATGCGGGTGTCCTTGCGCTTCAGGGCAGGGGACAGCAAGTCACAAAGTTCGAGGAAAGTCCCCTTCCGCATGCGAAAGTTTCGCAGCCACTGGGATTCATCCCAGACCTGAAGCACTATGCGGTCCCACCAGTCCGTGCTTGTTTCCCGGGCCCAGAATCGCCGTTCAACAAAATCCACATGCCCCATTGCCACCGTGATGTCCTGGGCGCTGGGGGTCGTGGTTTCTGACAGCTCTGTGCTACTCTCCGACTTCAGGCCCTCACGGCGGTGCCGTAGCCTCCTCGCCTGATTTCTCTGCATCTGCCTCAGGGAAAGGTGTATGATAAGCTGCGAGGCGTTGAGAACGGCCACAACTGCAGCGATGGTCGCAGCGGGATCCATGATCGCAGTGCTGTGGCGTCCGCGCTGTCACTGATCTAAAAGTGCGCGAACTGATTTCCCGCCGGCGCTTTCAGGGAGGGAGGGAGGGCGGTAGTGACTGACGGATGCCGACAGTTACCCAAAAGCACCCTCGCCACATTTTTTTACCCAGAAGGCATTGGGGGCTCGACCCAGAATTCCAATGGGCAGCGGGGACTGCGGGAACTGTGGGATAGCTGCCCACAGTGCACTGCTTCCAATGTCGACGCTTTCCCTGGTAGTGTGGACTGACAAAGTCGAATTACTGTCCTTAGTGTGGACACACACGTTCGACTTTCTAATATCGATTGCACATATTCGATTTAACTAAAATCGAACTACTCTCGTAGTGTAGACATACCCTGGGGGATTATATAACTTGGCACTCAATAACTGAAGACACTGCTTTCTACCCCACAACATGTCAATCACAAGGAACAAACTACACAGAATCCAAATGTTCTTCCAAATAATTGTAACTTGTCCCACAATGACGAAGTTCACAATTACAGCTGCAGGAAATAACATACTGAGAGCTTTTTGGAAACTCTGGTACTACTACTCAATGACAATGCCACAACAACTAGAGTGACAGGACAGCACAAGACTGCAATGTCATGCAGTGATCATCCTTGAATGACATATCAGCTGCTTCACAGGAAACGAACACCTGACTTTACACCAGCAAAGGCAACAAAACAGCTTTCTAAAACAAAGCCTCAGACTAAAATCCATTTTTTTAGACAAAGAGGAAGAATGGTCTTGTGGTTAAGGAACTGCCTTAAGGACTCTAGGTTCAATTCCCACGTCTGTCTCACTTCCTATGTGACCTTGGGTAAGTCGCTTTCTCTCTCTGCCTCAATTCTTCATCTACAAAATGGGGGTAATACTACTTCCTTTCTTCCACCCTTTGTCTATTTAGACTGTAACCTCCTTGGGGCAGAGACTGTCTCTTACTTCGTATATGTACAGCACCCAGCACAAGGGAGCCACAAATTCTGTTGAAGACTCAAAAGCATTACAGCAAGACAAATAAGTAACAGAAGATCAAAATAAGTTGGCAGCATCCCTATAAATTATAGAACATAAGCACAAAGTGACTAGAAAATAATCACTCAGACTTAAGAGCTCCTCAGAATAGAGACCTTGACTTATATTAGGAAAGCACTTAGCACACTGTGATCACTACTGGAAATAAAGCATATCCACTGAGAGGACAAGCATGAGAACGGTGCCCCCAGACTGCCCAGCTAGCTCCTAGCTAAAGGCATAGGGCCAAAGAGCAGCCACTACATGAAGGACAACCTACAGGCAGGCTGGGGGTTGGAAAAAAGATTTCAGCTTTTATATACAGAAGCCCAAAATCTCATCTCCTAGCACATTCTTCTCAACACTGCACTTTCCAAAGAGATGGTTACTCACACAAAGATGTTGTCTTTTGGCATGATGTGACTTAACCCTTCATCCATTTGGAAAATTTTGTGGAATCGGTGATTATAAACATCTGTCACCACCATCTAAAAGAGTGAAGTTAGAGACAGTTAGACAAACTAAAATAATTCACAATTCTAGAAACAGTTCCTCATTTTTCTCTCTCAGACATTTTTAATGTACACATCACCAAAGTGTTGATGGAGGCTCTATAGTGACACCTTATGGTTGATCCGACATACTATTAACTGAATCTAATCAGACCAATGAGGCAGAGAACAACAATTGGGCCTGATTTTTCAGAGGCATTGAGTACCTGCAGCTCCCAGTGGCTTCACGTCAAGCACAGTGGCCACTCTCCTGTGAAGATATCATTATACATCCCAGTGCATCAAGGCCCAACAGGCTGGGATGTAAGACAGAGATAACCGAACACTTAATAACTACAAAGGAACTGAACTAATCCTCTGAACTGGCATGAGGTAACAAGTTATATACATGGGAATCCAGACAACTTCCCACGAACCACAGGTTTCAAGCCTGATGTTTTAATGGGCAATAAAATTATTCACTTCTTAAGAAAGATAAAGCACATCCCATTTCCTGTTGCTACTAAGGAGGTTTCTAAGGAATAGATACCCCCAAAGTAGTAATATCAGGGGCAAAAAGGATAAACTAAGAGAAGTTGCAATGGTAGTGGCAGTCATTTTTCTCTCTCTTCCCTCACACACACATCCCCTTTTTAAAACCATTATTACTGTCATTATTATAATGGAGGTATCAAAGTGAACAGGGCTTGCCTGTGTCATGGCTTTCTTTTTAGAATTCAGGCAAGCAAGGAGTTATGTATTAGTCCAATTAGTTAATGCTTAGTTACTATTTTGCTCCTCTTTGCTTATTGTTCATTTCAAAGTTTTTCCAATAATAAAATGCTTTAAAAAGAAAGAACACATTTATTAGCAAAATTATTGTGTGTGCTTGGTCTTACATTTTCTGCAGGGATCTTGGAGAGTTTGGAAAGAGCTTCACACAGGTCTGATACAGCCCCCATCATTGGCACAACTACCCGATACTGGAAACAGAGAGAACGTTAAACTTACATGAGGCAAAATAAATCCAAGCATGGAGCAGAACGTTAGCAAATGGGAGTTTGGCCATTCGTTAGTCCTGACATCTTAAAAGCAGAGAATTCTATGGCAAGTGGGGTTTCCAGTCACACTTGGCTGTCTTCAGTGTCTCAGGCTCAGATTTAAAGATTTGAAGCCCAGACAGCCACAGCACAGATAACAGAATTTCACCCAGCAATTCCTCTGTCTCGTCCAATAACTTGGGGTGGAACTTTTAGAAAGACATCCAATCTTGATTTCAAGTGATGGAACAATCCACCACACTGCCCCAAAAAGCTGTTCCAATGGTTAAATACCCTTACTGTTGAAAAATCTGTGCCTTATTTGCTCTCTGAATTGCTTCCATTTCCAGCCACTGGATATTGCAATTAACATTGCAAAAGGTACCATCCTAGAGAAACTCTCCCAGAAGGTTTTGACTTTATGCATCTAAAGCAGGGGTGGGCAAATTTTTTGGCCCAGGGGCCATATCTGGGAATAGAAATTGTATGGCGGGCCATGAATTCTCACCAAATTGGGGTTGGGGTGAGGGCTCTGGTTTGGGGTGGGGCCAGAAATGAGAAGTTCAGGTGCGGGAGGGGGCTCTGGGCTGGGGGAATGAGGGTGTGTGTGAGGGCACAGGCTGGGAATGCGGGCTCTAGGGTGGGGCTGAGGATGAGGCGTTTGGGGTAATAGGAGGGTGCTCTGGGCTGGGGCAGGGGGTTGGGGTGTGGGAAGGGGTGCAGGCTCCAGCTGGGGGTGCAGGCTCTGAGGTGGAGCTGGGGATGAGGTGTTTGGGGTGCAGGAGGGTGCTCCGGGCTTGGATCGAGGGGTTTGGAGGGTGGGAGGGGCATTAGGGCTAGGGCAGGGGGTTGGGGTGCAGGGGAAGGCTCAGGGGTGCAGGCTCCAGGCGGTGCTTACCTCAAGCGGCTCCTGGAAGCAGTTGCATGTTCCTTCTCCGGCTCCTATGTGGAGGCGCGGCCAGGCGGCTCTGCATGCTGTCCCATCCGCAGGCACCGCCCCTGCAGCTCCCATTGGAGCACCGGAGGGGGCCATTAGAGCGGGGCATTTGGAGTGCGTAGGAGCCGGAGGGGGACCATGCCGGGGCTTCCGGGAGCTGCATGGAGCGGCCCCCGACCCTGCTCCCTGGCAGGAGCACCAGAGGGGGGCCATGCCACGGCTTCCGGGAGCTGCACCCGACCCTGCTCCCCGGCTGGAGCGCCACAGCAGGGCAAGGCCCGCTCCACAGAGGGAGCTCGAGGGTCGGCTTAAAACAGCTGGTGGGCTGGATCCAGCCCACAGTTTGCCCACCCCGATCTAAAGCACACACCAGGAAAGGAGGAAGCCACGGTCAGGTTGGCTGGATTTCTACTATACCTCATGTAAATTGGAGTTAACCAATGTGTCTTCCTGCAAATCATTTCTCCAGAACTATCTAACTCCCATAAGGATATCACATAGGCACTGGCTAAAACTAGAGATTTCCTATGGCCACTGGGAATACTTTGCAGAGAGGAATAAATATTTTCCGGATATGAGAAGAAGAGACAAGTTGAGACTAACGCCAGGAGTCAAGCTCTCCCCTCACTTCCGCTCAAGGCCTTCCACTAGTCTCCATCCTCCTCATCCCAGGAATGGTAGGCTCTCCAAGCAAGCACTAACCCCTCGGGAGCCAATCAACACTACCAGAGCCTACCGGCATCAGGCACCTGCAGCCCACCACGGCCTTCCAGCACTGAGTGCCCCACTCCCATGCCACCACATGAATTGAGCTTTTCTGTACAAAAAAAATGTTATTCAGCTCATGCAATAGCTGTCTCCTGCCTGTGATTAGATGTTCGGCCGTGTGTGTGTGTGTGTGTGTTCTCCCCGTGTGCTGCCCCAGCTTTGCGCAGACAGCCATCACAGCAGACCTCAAGCGAACTGCCCAATGACCACAAGATCCTTAAGGTACAAAGGCACCAGGCCAGGTTTATTGTTGACAAAGCATGGTAACCTGGTAGAGACTACAAGGATAGTAAGACATGTATGCCCATGACAAGAATGCAGCTCAGTGAATGGCAGACTTTCCATTCCCCCCTCTGGACAAAGATACTCCCTCTGAGATACATCTTTATACCCTAATACAAACAAATTATGTACTACCTCTGACATAGTTACTGCCCCCCGATGTGGCTAGTTATCACCTTGTACATGTTGGTTCAATCAAATCATCTTTATTACATATTGTCATTCTGACCTTATCTTTTAGTAGGGGTCAGCGTGTTCCTGTTATCCTTATGGAATGTTTTTGTACCATCCTTAATATCGGGATGTTCTGGTACCACTTGATATCGGGATGATGTTTGCGTGAGTACTCTGTGCTTAGCACTTCTTAGGAATGTGTATTTCTGCAATATCAGCCCTGTTCTTGCCAGATTCTGTGAGCAGGTCCTGCCTCATAGCAAGCCTCTGATACACGGGCTTATGTCTCAGGCTCTCTTCCTACTACATTGCCCACTTCCTGATTCCTGCTCCAAGGGACAAGTCAACATGCACCATGCCAGTGACATATCAGAGGAAAGAGGTCACTTACCAGAAACTGTCATTCAAGAGTCTCCTCTGTGCAAGCAGACACACCTGAGGCCCCTCCCATCCAGCATCAACCTTCAGAACCCTCTTCAAAAGCATTGTTGTCAGGAAATGCATGCACACCCCCTTCTGGTACCAAATGTTCAGCACACGAGATTATGTAAGGGAGCACACCAGCCCCATCACCTTCATTCCTTCTCCTGAACTGCAGAGACCCATTTACATGGAGAACTCTGAAGTAAAAGGGAATACAGGAAGGTATTGTGAATGAGCAGAGGCAACGCTCAAAGAACAACAGTTACTGATGAGTTGCCTTTCTTCTCTGAGGGCCTCTGAACATTCCCATCTAGGGGAGCAGTGAGCGGTACTGCCCATATGGAAGGTGGGAGAGGAGTTTTAATGAATTAGAAACTGTAGCACCGCCTTCCCAAACTGAGCATTTAAACAGGATGCTACGTCGTACCTGGTGAATGACACTGAACATAGTTACAAGAGTGTTCACATACTGGTCCCCGTTAGCGTCTCTGAATCTGCAAATCCTGCTGAACACCTACTATTACAGTAAAACTAAAGAATACATCTAGGCCTACAGAGCAACACAGTCATCAGCGTAACCGACCAACTGTACCTAAAGGTTGACGCAGTCATCAGCATCATACAAAAGGGTCCTCATCAGGGCAGCACTGATAATAATATCAGCAAATGTCAAAGGGCTCTTGGGTGCCAAACAAGACCTTATAGCCAAAATGTGCCCTTACTCTCACTGCCAGATATTATGCCTCCAGGAGACACAGAGAGGGATTAACAGCCACTGCCCTGGATATTTGGGATGAACTTGACAACTGAAAGACCACACAAGCAATATGGCAGTGCCATTTTTGTCTAACTTAATCTTGTCATCAACAACACATCTATGACTGATAACAATGACATTGAAGTCCTGACTGTAAACACTGGTAGCATTTCCACCGTGTCTGTCTATAAACTGCAGTGCAAACAATTCAAGTTAACAAGCCCACAACCCTGAACGTGACAAAACGCAGGTGATCATTGGTCACAAGGTCAAATGGGGCTATCGCGTAACTGATGAAAATGGTGAACTAGCTGAATTGTGGCCAAATGCACACCACTTAATTCAGAATCCTAAGCTCTCCAGTTCTTCCAACAGCAGCTGATGGAAATGAGGCTACAACCCTGATCTGGCATTTATCAGCAACAACATAACTGGTTCAGGTCACAAACTTAGTTTGGGCCCAATTCCACACGTGCAGCGCCAGCCCATCGCCATCCAGAATGCAGCTGTAATGCCAAACTCAGTACAATGCTGGTGCTGCTTTAATTTTAAGAAAGTAAAATGGAAGAGCTTCTCCAATGACCTCGATGCCATTGTAAGAAATATTGAACGAATACCAGAAAATTATGACCAGTTTGTCAATGCATGGTCTCGAAGAAGCATAATCCACAAGACTGGAGAACAAACTATGTGCCAGGAACAACATCCAATTTATCAGATTAGTATGCAAAATGCAAGCAGAACTTTAAAGCAGACCCATTCACTGAAAGTACCATCACATTCGGCAAAAAAATGGTCTCTAGACTAAAGGAGGAAAAACAAAAGTCATAAAAGAATCTCACTGAGAGCGTGCACATGACCCAGAGCAGTAAAAAGCATGGATTAACCATCTGGAAACAACCACCCAAGGACAGCAGAGCAACACTACACATTTACTGCAGACAAGGTCACACAACAACTCCTAAAAAATGACTGGGCACCAAACGAACAGCCCAAGATACAGCTTAAGTGGCAAGAAGAACTAGGAAACGTATAATTTTGGGGCACAGTATGCAACGACCAAATTAACCTCCAGAATTAACACCCTCAAGAATGGCAAAGCCACTGGTCTAGATGACATTCGTATTCAACATATCAAACACTTTGGATCAGGAATAAAGAACTGGTTACTCAAGTTGTTTAGCACATGCTCAGCCACATACAAAGTACCCAAGATCTGACAAAGAACACATGTTGTGGCACTCCTGACAGGGCCGGCACCAGGCACCCAAGCACATGCTTGGGGCGGCACCTGGTAAGGGGTGGCGGGGGGAGCGCGGCGGGGCATTCCGCAGGGGGGGCGCTCCGGCGGCACGGCACTCGGCGGGGCGGGCGGGCGGCACTCTGGGGGGAGTTCCAGCGGCG